TACAGGTGGTTATGTGCCACGCTGAACATGGGTGCTAGGAACCAAACTCAGGTCCCCTTTAAGAGCAGCAAGCACTGTCAACCTCCAGACCACCTGCCTAGGCTCTATTTTGTTTCATTTTTAATTAACAGAATGTCAACGGTGCCTCTCGGGGCAGTGTGGGAACAGCCAGTCACTTCACACCCACTGTGAATACCAGGTGGCACGTGATGGCAAATCTCACCTGACTCACACTCATTTCCCCTCTCTTTAAAGCCTCTGCCTGAAACTTTTTTTCTTTCAATTATTTATTCACTCATTCCTGCAAGAAATATTTACTTAGTACCTCCGATGGTGTGTGTGTGTGTGTGTGTGTGTGTGTGTGTGTGTGTGTGTCCAAGCTACAATCAAATGAGCATTATGTTTAATGATGTATCCCAACTACAGGCAAAGTAAGAGTTCTGCACATGCTTAAGGTAAGCCAGGCTAAACTAAGCTGTTTGTTATGGTAAGAGTATTAAGTGCATTTTCTAAATACATAGTATTTATCTGTATATCATTAATAATCCAGGTAGAATCCCTTCCCTTCTAGATTGCTATGATCCTTTTTCTGTATGTCCTTCCTCTTAGTTGAAATAAAAGGACTGGGAAGTTTTGGTTTTTTTTTTTTTTAGCTACAATTAAGATCCTCATGTTCTTCTGCCAACTGCTACTGGTCTAAGGGGAAGTTGATTAATCTCTCTGGATTAATTTTTCCCTTCTGTACATAAACACTTGAACAAAAGGCCAGTCACTAAGAATATTTTCAGTTGTTCCTGATGAGTTTCTCCTACTTTGATTCACATAGACACATACATAAATCCATCACATAGAATTCACACAGAAAAACATGCACATGCAAGCATGCTCATGCATGCGTGCACACTCACGCACACACACACACACACACACACACTCCAGTGACTCCCTACCTCACTTAAGTAAAACTCAAAGTCCTTATCCAGGAGGTAATACTAAACCCCAGGGACTAGAAGTAGTCTAGCCCCAAAGTCTCTCTGCCCCTCTCCCATTAGGCACACTGGATCAGGGACTTGCACACACTAATATATTCCTCCTTCCTTTGTCTCCCTGCAGCTTTTGCCCTCACCTGGAAAATTCTCCTCTGTCTCAGTCCTCATTTCCTTCAACAGATGTTCACATGTCTTCTTTCAGAACATCCCCTGTTCTGGTTACCTCATATAAAAACATATCTCCATGTTACTATAAACCCCTTAACTTTCTTCTTCTTTAAAATTGTATTACATGTTTTATTCTTTTGTGTGGGAGGAGGTGCAAGTGTGTGGGCATGCACATGGTATAGCTCATGCATAGTGGTCAGTGAATAAGTTTTGATATATATATATGTATGTATATGTATATATATATCAAATTTTATATATATAATATATTAAAAATATAAATTATATTATTTATATAATAATTAATTGTAAATTATATTATTAAATTATTATAATAAAATTTTATATATATATATATAAAATTTTCATTACCCATTCATCTGTTGATGGGCATCTAGGATGATTCCAATTCTTGGCTATAGTGAACAACAAACTCAGAGTACCCTCTGTGGTAGGGTACCAAATTCTTTGGGTATGTGTCCAAGAGTAAAATAGTTGAGTCACATGATAGTTCTATTTTTAATTTTTGAAAAATCTCAAGAGTGATTTCCACAATAGCTGTATGAACTCACACACCCTAACAAGAATGAATAAGGGTTCTTTTCTCTCCAATTTTTGCTGGCAGGGTTGTTGATGACAGTTATTTTGACTGGGGTGAAGTAGTACCTAAAAGTAGTTTCTTGTTTGTTTTGCTTGGTTTTCTAGTTTTCAAGACAGTGTTTCTCTGTGTAGCTTTGGAGCCTATCCTGGAACTCACTCTGTAGACCAGGTTGGCCTCGAACTCACAGGGATCCGCCTACCTCTGCCTCCTGTCTAAAATTAGTTTTAATTTGTATACCACTAACAGCTTTTAAAACAGTTATTGGCCATTTGTGTTCCTCCTTTTTGAAAACAGCCTGGTCAGCTATTCATCCATCTGTTGATTTCTAGTTTTATTTCCTTTGGATTTATTTTCTGTGATTCTTTGTGAACAACTCTGGATAGCAACCTCCTGTCTGAAGGGTGCATGGTAATGATTTTCCACCCTTCTGTGTATTGTCTGTGAACTCTGCCGATCGTTTTCTTGGCTGTTCAGAAATTTTTATGTTCACATTGTCCCATCCATTTATGCTTTGGATGAAATTGAGAATAAAAAAAAATACACAAAATCAACCAATGAGTTGTTTCTTTGAAAAAGTTAATAAACTGTAGAGAGCCTTAGCTCTCTGGCTTTCTTACTAGTCTCTGAAGCAGCTGTCTATCCCAGGAGTTCAGACCACTGTTTATCCCATGCTTGAGACATACTCAGTTCATCCCTGTGACTGAATGAAAGTTGCCAGCCTCATGCAAACAGAAACCCGTTCAAAACACAAGTACTCCTCTTTTGTGCCATAATCATTCTTTTCTCTTACCACAAGCTGGGAAATATTCACACTCGCCAACAGCAACAACACACACACACCATTTCCATCATGAGAGGAGTAAAAGAAAGTGTTAGACATTGCATGCCTATCTGACTGTTCAGGTGTTTCCTAGCCTGATGTGGCTGGGATACAGTTGCTGACTTGTTACTTGTCTTAATGTCTCTGGGGCACCACACTGGCACATGTTGAGACATATATGTGGCACATACACACATATAGAAATACATCAACATACATGCCTATCTGGACAGAAACCAATTGCAAACAGAAATATACAAACACAAATAGACATTTCAGGTTCAATTCAGGATTAATGCAGAACACAAATCAAAAATGACACACACGGGAGTATACACACTTATTAGGCCAGGCATGGTGGTGCAAGATTTTGGTCCCAGTACTCAGGAGGCAGAAACAGATAAATCTCTGTGAGTTTGAGGCCAGCCTGGTCTACATATCTAGTTCCAGTTCTATGCCAGTCAAGGCAACATAATTAGACTATCTGAAAAGAGAGAGGAAGAGAGAGAGAATAACTTCACTTTCAAGAGCACACACATATATGCACACAAACACATGAGCAAAGACAATGATATTTACCTTAAGGTGTGACTAGAGAGCAATGAGGCCATGTGGGGTGTCTGCTGGTGTGCTGGGAGTGGTCAGTTTTCAATTACATATGCTACATAATTACATGTATATATTCAATATGGTGCATCTACATAGACATTTGTATCAGATTCGTGAGCACCCACTATCAATAGCAAATCTCCTTTACGGTCACTACAGAAAACATTTTGGGAACCCTGGTGTGGGTTCCTCTGGCACATACTTCTGCAGTACTGGAGAGAGGGGTTCTGCTGGTCTGGCCCAGAGCTGGGAAAGGAAGCTTCACTTGGATAAAAAGCTAAACTTGCAGAGAACGGAGATGTGGGAACTATTACCCTAAGAAAAGACTTCCTGAATATGCTGGGTAAACGGAAGGCTTGTCCTCTCTTAGCAGCATTGAAAGGGAGAGCCCCCAGAGTCCCAGCCAGTTCCAGCGGGTCAGAAAATCCTGCAGAGGCTATTAATCCACTAAAGTCCCCTGGCTGAAAGAAATCTGATTAACTCTACCTCTCCAGATGGGCTTAACAGTGAAATGTATATCTCATTTCGGAGAGTCAGATAAGGTAGAGAAACAGAGGAAGGCGGGTGAAACAAAATGAGAGGAAGGTGAGCACCCATTAACAAGATCTGTGCATGCTCTCCCTGGCTTTGCTGTTCAGGGGAAGCCCAGTTTCCTCAGCCTGAATGATGGATCTTTGGTTCAGATGGAGGAGTGTGTCTTCTGCCTTTCTCAAAAGAGACCAAGCAGGTCAGCTCCCTTTTGACCCTAGAAACTAAATTGTTGTTGGTTTGGTTTGGTTGTTTGTTTGTTTGTTTTGTTTTGTTTTTCCTGAATTTTCTTACCACAGTGACCCTGGAAGGAGACTTACTCTGTCCACCAGACTTTTTTTCTACATCTTCTGGGCCCAAATATTATAGCTTCCGCACTTTAAAGAACTTAAGGTTCCAAGTGAGCCTTTTTAAATGATACACTGAGTCCCCTGAGCACATCTGGACTGGGATTCGCGGTGTTTCACTTACAAGCGACTATTTTCTTTAAAAAAAAAATCAAAGTTAAGATTTTAAAAAGACTGCAGTCTTTTAAAAGATGAATTTCGTGACCTCCCTGGAGTAACAGAAGATCTGCAAAGACACTAGGGCCTGGGAAGTGCAGGAAGCTGGTCTCTACCAGCACTTCAAGGGTTAAATTCAACCCAGAGCCTAACACACAATTGGCCGAACCTGGAGAGAAGATATGGTTTTCGCAGCCGCGGGCCAATGAACACCTCGAGTGGGAGGGTTTGAAGCTTCTAAGGAGTTTTTCCCCCCATTTTCCCCTCTCCACCCCCTCCCGTCGGCCCTTGACACCACCCCCCCATCCTCTACGCCGCCAGTTTGTTAAATTAATGCAGTAAGAAAGTCTGAAGATCTGAGGGAGTCTAGCCAGAAGATGCGCGAGCTTAGAAACCCGACATGCCTCTGAAAGCTTGGGATCCTGAGCCCTGCTGGGAAGCTATGGACCCCAGTATCCCCTGAAAGTTGTGGTGGGCTTTATTGCACCTGCAGCCCCAAAGCAATGGGACACCTTTCCTGCAGCAATCCCAACTTCTTCGGCGGGGACCAGAGAACACGAACTGCAAGGCAACAGCAGACTGGAACGGAGGCAGGGGAACGAGATTCCGGGACTCGGTTGCGATGCGCCAGCCTGGCACACTCTCCGACATCTAACTGAAGCCAGCACCGTCACCTGCTCCACCTCCCCCCGCACACACACACACACACACACACACACACACACACACACACACACACACACACTCACAACCCCTACAACCCCTCGGGACAGCCCAGGGCCAGAAAGAAGATGCCAGTCAGGTCTAAGGGTCCGAGGCCAGAACTCTGATCCCCACGGATTTCTTGCTTGCATGAAACTGGACATCTCGACATAAAATTAAGGGTTAAAAAAAAAGAAAAGGAAAAAAAGAAAAGAAAAGAAGAAAATATACCCACCCCCAAGAGTGCCTCCCAGCGCCGCAGGGAGCCTCCAGCGAGTTGAGCATCAGCAGCGCTCTTCCCGCCCGCAGCCGGGCTGGACGCTCTCCGTGGTGCTGAACCTGAACGGCCGCCGCTTTCCGCGGTGCCCAAGCCGCCTGGCTGCAATTCTCCCCGGGTTCTGCCACCTTGTCCCTCTACTCCCTAGCTCCTTTAAACATCTGGATTATTTTCCCCAGAGGCGCTCTCCGGCTTCGTCGTTGCCCATCGGAAACATTTTTGCACCCCCATAACTCGAGGACTTTACAGCACAAGAATCTAGAAAATGTACAGCTTCAACACTCTGCGATTCTACCTTTGGGAGACCATTGTATTCTTCAGGTACGCGATTTCCTATACTGACCACGACTATCCTTCTGGTGCAAATGGGGTTAAGGTGGTGTAAAGAGGCTGACTCTACCGTGGCCTCATCAGCTGGGGAGGGGGTACTGTGTGCTGAAGGCCTTTCAATTCCCCTCCCCCCTCCACCCGCAGGGTGTCTGGCTGGTGCGTGTAGGTCCCAGACAGTGGCTGCTCCAGCAGCGGTTTGCCTGTTTCTTGCGGTTTGTCTGTCTGTCTGACTGCTACACTCGCCCGATACTCGCCCTCTGGCCTCTCTTCTCGTTATCCTTTACTCGGCTGAGGACTTAAAGGAAAGCTTTACGAGTTTTTTAGTTTAATTGGGACCGCATTCTCTCAAACCGCAGTGCTGGAAATCCCGGGTCTCCCGTCTGGGAGCGAAGTGACAACTAGTGGTGACGCGGAAGGTTGCAGTTGGACTGGCTGGGCACAAAACAGAGCATTCTGTCTTCCTTTTTGTTGTTTTTCTTGTGGGGTGGGGGGTGTCAGGGTTCCTGTGGTTTGGAGATAGGGGGATAGCGCAGTTATGACCTCAGCTTGCAAAGCCGGAACTTAAGTGCAGATCGGGCCTATTTGCGAATAGACGACACTGAGAAATATTTTCCTTTTAAAACTTTGACTCCATCCTCCCCGGTACACACTTTTTCCAAACTCTGTTACGACCGACCCTCCCCTACTCCAAAGAGCAGTTATTTATGAATGAAGGCCTATTCCTGCTGCCATAACTGGGCTCTCCATACCCTTCCATTGACTCCTAATTCTGTTTACAGGCTTAGCGTTCTTGTGTTAGCCCTAGTGAAAAGTGAAAAATCACGTCTTTAGGAAGCATTGAAACAGATAGGCCTTTTGTAAGTGGGCAAATCATGCCATCTTCAGAGGTGGTGATGATAAATTCCATCTGTAAGAATTGAAAAATATTCTTCCCGGCTTTGCAGAGATCGTTAATCTTCCTTGTTCTTGCGTGTCTGCTTCTTGTGTTTTACCACTGTAGTCAGTTAATAGGCGTTAAAAAAAGAAAAGAAAAGAAAACCCACTCTGGTTGTTCTAAAAAACCTATATGACCACCAAATAAGATCCTCTCTGGTCCTAAAACAACACATAATTATAATTTGATTACATGATTACAAGAGCTGTTGGTTTGACTAATCCATTGGTTGGTGATATGAATGAGGCCTCACTTCGAAGTGACAGTTTCTGAATATGAGCCTCTCTTTGTGTTTTTTTTTTCTGTCGAGATGATGAAGACAAGACGTCTCCTTCCTTTCCAGGGTTACCCCACTGCTAAAGCTTTTAATGTCCTCTTAAAATCATTCTTTAGCATGCCACTGTCCCGGTCATAGCTTAGAATGTAAATAGCCAAGTATTTTCTCAAGTACAACATCCTAGGACCTTGTGAGATCTACCAATTCGTGGGAAGTGGCAAGAAGTATCTTATCACTCTACCCACCCCCATTCCTTTTTTCCTGATGCAGTCTTTGATTTCCCTCTCCCAGACATGAGCTTTCATTAAAAAAGGGGGGGGGAGAATCAGTCTAAACGATCTGCATTGTAATCGCTTAGATTGAGGGTGAGACTCCGCTGTGTTAATTCCTCAAGTGAACTGGTGGTGGCCCATCAGAGAGTCTCCCTGTGTCTCCCTTCCCCTCTACGGATGAAAGCACACATGAGCAGCAATGGACTTGATCGAGAACTCACTGTGCTTCTGAGGAAGCAAGGGGCATGACTAGAGAGATCCGGATCACGCTGGCGCTGCGGCACTATCAAAGCAGGAGGATGGCTGCTTCGTTTCAGGAGTCAATGTTCACACCCTTTGCAGTTTCCCACATAGATGATGCAAAAGGGATCCCAAGTGGGTTGACCAAGATATGTCCTTGCTCAAATGGTATTTGCATCTATAATACTTTCATCTTTAGGTAAATTTTAGGTAAGACTTATAACAGACTTAGAATCGAGGGTAAACAGAGGCCAGCAGCTCCCTTGCAGGTTACAGAAGAATAAGTAGCCCTTCTTACCAAGGGACAGGCTGAGGGCTGGAATGAGCTAGTGTGTATTCCCAGGGTCCAAGCCCTTCTTAGATTAAGTAAAGTCAGCTGCTCACCTGTTTGAAATTACTGAAAACCTTGGGGAGCCACCAGGGCACTATCCAAGGTGCTACTGCACCGCATCTGTGGGTAACCAGCAAAACAGCGACATTGACAGCAAAACAAACAAACACAACTGACGTGAGCGATGCTGGGGCCTCACACGCTACCAATGCGGGGAGTGAATGGAGGCATCGGAAAGGCAGACTGGGGTCCTAGGAGACCAGTCGTGCTGCAGTGCTCATCGGCCATGTCCCCACAAAAACATGGAAGCAATTTGGCTGAAGTTCCTACTCTCATGTGAAACAGCCTGACAGTCTTAGATTTAATACATGACACCCTATAATCCAATAATATAAATTTTGCATCACTTGGAGGTTGGGATCCTATATCCACTTGGGCTAAAACTGACATTCAGTTTTTCTTTATTTATTTAATACCAGAAACGCATTCCTTTCAACCACTGTTAAACCAAAGGGAACATGGCTTTGATTACCCCAGAGTCCTTACAGAGGCTTGTAGTAAGGATGGTACTAGTACGACTCCAACAGTTTCTTGCCTTCTCGATAACTCAGACAGACATGATCTATGAGGATGCTTTTCGACCTCTGCTCTATTGGCATTTTGATCTTTGTAATTCTTTGTCATGACGTCTGCCCTGTGCATTGTAGCAGCCTGTCTGGTGCCAGTAGCATCTTTTCTCCCTGATCACGACAAACAAAAATGTCTCCAGACACTGCAAACTAACCCAGGGTACAGTGAGAAGGCGCAGGGTTGCTCCAGTTTAAAAGTGACAATAAAAATAACCAGCTTTGTAATCAGTTGCTCTGATGCACTGATCATAGTAATAAAAAAAAAGTAGAGTGTGCCTGAGGAAACAACCCCTGGTAGAATACACAGCATGTCCCATTGAAACAGAAAGAAACCTAGCTTGTGCTTCAGCAGGGGATAAATACAGAGGGACATAAACTAAGTGATTTTCCCACAAAGCACCACCTTTTCTTTAAATACCTCTTCCATTTCCCAACCCAGTCGATGACACCTTGTGCTAAGATTTTAGTCTCTGTGTGTCAATAACTTGCTAAGAAAGCTGATCAAAACTTTGAAATCCAGATGTAACTATCAATTCTAAGGCAAGAATGACCATGGTAAATAATATTGTTTAATCTCTCTATCACTATGGACAAATAAATGAGTTTTCCTGAGATAGGCCCTCTTGGAAAGGTTCCCAAGATTATCAAGAAGGGCAGACAAACACCTTGGTCTTTCTCCCTGGTAACAGCTATGTTCTGCCTGAGTCCTGCCCGCTATATCTGTAGGCACTGCAAAACACATCTAGAAGTTTCTGAAATGACTCAAGGGCTTTCTCCTAAAGAACTAAGCCAATGAGGTAACTCTGCCTCAGGGCCAACCAAAATGTCCTCTGGTGACTTTGAAAAGCTGGGAAAGAAATGTCATTTTGGCAGTTTGAACAGGGACCTAAAGCCAATAAAATAGAATTATAACTCCTCACAGAACATCTGCATTATTTGAGAAGCTGGGAATGATCTACCAGGAACTCATGAGAAATTTATCTTTGAGATGGTCTTATGAAAGGCCGCAGCTCTGTGGGGCAACAGAGAGAGCAGAACTGCTATGGTCCATGGGCTCTGACTTCCAGAGCCAACTCTGCCTTCCTTCTGCGGCACAGCCATAGCAAGGCTCCTTCCGTGTGGCTACCCTAGTGTCAACTCAGATGGCTAAACCCAACCATTAGAAGTTCCCTTCAGGCTCTGAGCAACCCACTTGCAAAGACAGGACCCCATCTGCACAAAGGCTCTGGATAAACCAGTCCCAGTGGCTCCCCTGCCTTCATCCCTTCACCGGGTATTAACTAATTACGTGGTTGTGTGTCCCGTTCAAAACCAGGCACTCTGCAGGGACACATGCCATTCCTGCAGAAAGAAACCTTTTCCCTTGCAGCAGAGGGTCTACAGCGCTCACCTTCAGGCACCCTGTACAGGGGCTATGACAGCACCACACTGATGGGGATGTCATTAACTTTATTTTCTTCATCAGCTGGTAGAAGCCAAAATGATTTTTAAGATGGATGGTACCATCTCCTGTCTGCCCAGCTCGAGGCACTTCTGCGGGTTTTTTAGTATGGCCTCAGCTGCAGCAGACCTGAGATCTGGAATTGAGCTATAGTAGCATGACCTTGAGAAGACTCTGTGACCCTTCTGGGTCTCACTTTGCCCACCTGTAAAATGAAAGTGCTCCGCCAATCACACTCGCAAAATTTATTTTTAGCTGTTCCTGTTGGCAATGACCTTTTCCCCGGTCTTTCCCGTAACAGTACAGATTGGGTTAAAGTGATTGCAGTGTATCTCAGCTGTTACCAAAATAATAATAATAACAGCTGTTCCCAGCTGCTCCCAGACCCAGAAGTCAGAAAAGATTGAGGCCCTCAGCCAGCCCCCTCCCTCATTGAACAGGTCCCCTAAGAAGGACGTGATGACTGACAAAGACTGTAAACGTCTACCTTCCCATCCCAAGAAATGTCCAGCGTGCTGAGATAGCATTATGCCACACCACCACCTTCATCTGAAAAACCAGGGGAGAAAGGCAAAGGTTCTCTACTTTCTATAACAACTGTTAAACACTTACCCCTCCTCCATGTGTACGCATATAAAGCCTGTTTTTTAGCGGTTTACTGAACCCATCCTTGCCTTATCCACCCACTGCTATTAGTCAAAAGAATATGCAACTGTCAGGCACTCCCCAACTACCGCAGCACAAGCAATACCCCTCGCTGAGTCTACTTAAGATGAAACACTGCTAAGGACCTGTGTTGCTTCCTTGTCAGCCCGTACGGTTTGGGCAGAGGTAAATACCCAACTGGCTACAGTCTTTGAAACATTT